AGAGGGGGGAGGAAGAGGAGGAGCAGGAGGGGGAGGGGAGGAAGAGGAGGAAGAGGAGGAAGAGGAGGGGGACAAGGACCATTGGGCCGATCTCTGAGCTGGTTATTTTCTTTTGGACGTTTTATCATCCAACTCAGTGACATCCTCAGCGCTCGATGAGTCCCATCGATGATCCTTGTCCCGCCAATGCTGTTCCCTAGTTGGGTCGTCATGAAACATGACCCCCATGACCTTCGGGTCAACCTTCCCCCCACCCCAGCTCCAAGGGACCCCGCAGGAGGACTTTACCTGCCTCACCCAGAAGGGCATCTTGTAGGAGCTGGGCGAGCGATGATGAATGTTGAGGACGACCACGCTGAGGATGACAGAGAACGTCACCAGGATCATAGTGAACATCAGGTACTTGATGATGATGGGCACCGCCAGGGAGGTCTCCGGGACCTTTTTGGCCAACAGCAGCAAGAAGACGGTGAGGGTGAGGAGCGCGAAGATGGAGAGTGTCATCTTCTCGCCTGGTTGTGAAGGAGGAAGACAAGTCGGGCTTTGGACCAAAGTCAGAGGGATCCAATGCCGCCGTTTCTTCGAGGTTGGCGTCAGTGAGTTAGCCGTGGTGAGTTGTCCTAGACCTAGGGGTGCCAAACTCAAAGCCTGCTGTAGAAACGGTAAAGGACCGTGGTGCCTCTGCCAGCGATAACAGGCCGCCGACCTCTGTTTTCAGCTGCGACGGCCTCCTGCACCCCTCCGCCAGCGAAAATGGAGTTCGGGAAAACTCCTGTTTTCGCTGGCGGAGGCTTGCGGGAGGCCGTCCCAGCCGAAAATGGAGATCAGTGGCCCGTTTTCACTGGCAGAGCGCTCGGGCCGCCGCAGGTTCTCCCGACAGGAGTGACATCAAGCTGGCCATGGCCACCCTCTTGAGGCCAAACACGACCTTGATGCGACCCACGATGACATCGAGGTTTGACACCCCATCCTAGATTCCAACCCCGTGATCTGCCACAAGCAGGGGGTAGGCTTCGAAAATTTCAGCCACCGGTTCTCTGCGCAGTGGCTGGGTGGGCGTGTAGGTGTGGCCTAGTCAGCCTCCTGCACCACAGCGGGGGGCGGGGGAAGATGGGGCATTTTCACCCTTCCCACACTCCAGAGGCTTTCCTCGACGGCAAAAAAATGACCTCCCCAGCCACCGGATGCCCGAAACGGGCCCGTTTCCAGCCTTCTGGAACTTTGGGAGGGGCGTTTTTTTACCCTCGCTGCACTCTGGAAGCTTTCCACAAGGGCAAAAACGGCTTCCTCAGCCTCCAGAGGCTGTTTCGAGCCTTCCAGAATTTGGGGGGGCTGTTTTTCGCCTTCCCTGAGTCTCTGTGCAGGCCCTGTTCTTATCTGGAATCCAAAACAGGCCATGTGGAGACTCCTGGGAGGGGCGCGGGGAGGGGAAGGGCCACCCAGGGGTGGGATTAACCAGTTTGCCAAACCAGTCCTTAAAGATGATAAAATTAGCTACCGATTCGCATGAACCGGGGCGAACCGGTCGCATCCCAACCCCTGCTGTGAGAGAACCAGAGCCCATTCGCAGTCAGCTCACCGGCATCCGGCGGGAGGTAAAACACGAAGATGGCCAGGATTGTGATCAAGATACAAGGTATGATGACATTGATGAGGTAGAAGAGCGGTTTACGGCGGATGATGAGGTAGAAAGTGATGTCCTCGTAGAGCGAATCTCCCGGACGAGTGTTCTTTTGGGACGGTTTGTGCTGGAACTCCCACTGTCCATTGTCTGGAGAAAGAAAGGAGCAAGGATGCCTGAAAGGAAGACACCCACTCCCCAATCCCCCATGCTTGTGTCTCCTCCAATGAAGCCCCCCCATGTTCTTTGAGAAGATGGAGAAAGATGGAGTTGGACAAAACCAGGAAGTTCCGGAGAGGAGATGACGGTGTGCACAAAAGAGGGGAGTTTGTGGCTAAATTCTGGATTCGGTTGACCCAGGAAAGAAGGCCGCCTGCTCCCCAAACTTTCCTGGTTGGGGACCCAGAGAGGGGGGCAGGGGTAAAAGAAGGAATGATTCTGTGGGAGGGGCAAGCACATGTGCTCGTCTGTGCACATGCAACATTTGTGGCAAAGTTCGCACGAGCGGGACAGCAAGCACCCATGATGATGGCCGTGCGAGTTGGGGTACATGTGCATGCAGAAGCCACCCCCTCAAGCATCCCAGTGCCGATTAACCCATGGCCCAGTAGTGGGCCACGGACCACAGGTTAGGGACCCCTGTCTTAAGTGAAAATACGGGCATTGATTTGAGTCCAGGAGATCCAAACAGTCAAGATGGCAGCCGCAACTGTGCAATCGAAGCCTGCCCTTCTTTTAAAGAGGCCTCGCAGAGCTGGAGAAAACTCCAGCTTCTCAGACAGCAAAGGTAACTCACAAACAAATATTGGAGGAGTGCGTACCACGGCACAAGGCAAAACTCACAACACTTATTTTGACCATGTCATGCGGGGGAATTTACTGGGAAGAGCCTTTATAGTGGCACCTTGGTAGTCAACCTCTTTGAAATGAGTTTGGCACTGGATGCATTTTCACGGCAACATTTCCTCCCGGTACTCCTCGTTTGTTTAGTACTCAACGCAAAAGTTAGAACTTGTCATTGTGACTCGCTACATTACTGGGAAGAATTTGTTTGGTACTCATTGTTTTTGGTACTTAATGCACCTCCCGGAACCAATTAATGCAGAGCACTGAGGTACCAACCACTTGTATGTTGGGAAGAGTTAGCGGTAAAAGGAAACCATGCCATCAAAGAACACAGTAGCTGAGAACCATCAAAGCTGACACTGGCCAGAACATACAACAAGTCAAAAAGAGGCAGTGCACGATTGGAAGATGTGGAGAGACCGCCTGGCCCGGAGAATCACCAAGATCTGGACACAACTGAATGGATAACATTATTGTCACCATTGCTCTCCCCTGCAGACACGCATCCTTCGAGGGAGATATTGTAAAAAATAAAAAATAAAGTGGAAACAAACGAACATTGCAGGAATTGGAAAGGGAAGACGGGGTTCCGGTGAAATCCTTCCTTGGTTAGTGGAACGAAGGTGGCGCGCGGGGTTTGCGCGACCTCCATTTCGATCCTGTGAGTGGGTTCGCGCAGCAAACGGGCAAGCACCACCCTCACATTGGGCGCCAATTGGGCGACTTTTCCTCACCGATAAACGTGTTTTCATATATCAGGATCTCCTTCACCTCCTGCCCCTTCTCATTTACGGGGTGCAGGAGGGTGAGTTGGGAGGCGTCGTACGTGTACGAGCGGAAGACCATCGTGCAGTTCTGCCAGTCGAACGGGAAATAGGTAACCTGCAAAAAAACACAAAAAAACACAAGCGGGAGAATCTGAGGAAGTATGGCGTAGGCCCTGGAACCACGTCCTCCTTTATGAAGCCGTCCTTGACTTACGGCCACAGTTGGGAGCGCAATTTCCATTGCTAAGCAAGGAGGTCATTAAGAGCTGTGGTGGCGCAGTTGATTAGAATGCAGTACAGACCATCCTCAACTTGCAACTGTTCATTTAGTGACTGTTCAAAATCTAAACATTGCTGAAAATAGTGACTTATGACCATTGTTCCCCCTTAGGACCATTCTAGTGTCCCCCCACGGTCCTGTGAATAAAATTTGGATGCTTGGGCTGTGGATTCGCATTAATGATGGCCGCAGTGTTCCAGCGTCACGCGATTCCCCTTTTGCGACCTCCTGACAAGCAATGGGGAGGGCGGATTTGCTTAACAACTGTGCGACTCACTTAAGAACGGTGACAAGGAAGGTCATGGAATGGGGAAAAATTTACCGAAGATTTATCTGGCTTAGCAATGGAAATTTGTGGTTGTAAATAGGCTTAGCTACAAAGGCCATGGTGCGTTTTGAACTTCATTGAGTCAGGCACTCGGCGCATTTTGACATGGACATTTTGACTCAGTCATTGTTTGTTTAGTCCTTGACGCAAAAGTTATGCAGAGCGAGTTATGAGGGCTGAGAGTGGAGTCGAACCTGGATCCTGCAGCTGCTCCGATAAAGGGCTGGGGGCTGCCACTGGACCCTCCCGGTATAGTGCACGAGGACGTCCACGCTGAGAGCAATGTCAAAGACGCCGTCGTTGCTGGATGGAAAAAGAGACGAGAGAGAGAGACACCATCACTGGCGGGTGAGAAAAGGGAAACCGGCTCTCCCTTCGACGGGAAAATGAGACACTCGAAACCTTTGGCTGGAGGATTGCAGCTGGTTTTAGGCTGAAGGTTTAGCCTTGCAGGGGGCAGGGGGACATCCCCCCCCCCAAGTGGCAGCTCAAAGATCAACATTAATTTCATTCAGCTCAACTGGGATAATTCCCTAAAATGTTTTCGCTGTTCTGCCTTCCGCCTGCGAAGTTTTGGTGTGTTTTCCATTAAATAGAAAAATGTGAATTTTATTCATTTATTAATACACCTCATTTCCTTTCCTTTCCTTTTCTTCCTTTTCTCATCTCCTTCCTCCCTTCTTTTTTTCTCTCCTTCCTTTTCTCATCTTCCTTCCTTCCTTCTTTCCCTCATCTCCTTCCTCTTCCTTTTTTATATCCTTCCTTTTCTCATCTTCTTTCCTTCTTTCCCTTCCTTCCCTCATCTCCTCCCTCCCTTCCTTTTTCTATTTCCTTTTCTCATCTTCCTTCCTTCTTTCTTTCCTTCCTTCCCTCATCTCCTTCCTCTTCCTTTTTTCTATCCTTCCTTTTTTCATCTTCCTTCCTTCCTTCCCTTTTTTCCTTCATCTCCTTCCTCCCTTCCTTTCTATTTCTCATCTTCATTCCTTCCTTCTTTCCTTTCCTTCCTTACCTATTTCTCCTTCCACCCTTCCTTTTTCTATTTCCTTTTGTCATCTTCCTTCCTTCCTTCTTTTCCTTCCTTCCTTCCCTTATCTCCTTCCTTCCTTCTCCTTCCTTCCTTCCTTTTTATATCCTTTCTTTTCTCATCTTAAAAACCTCCCTCCCTTTCCTCCTTCCTTCCTCTCTCTCTTTTTTCAATCCTTCCTTTTCTCATCTTAAAAACCTCCTTCCCTTCCCTCCTTCCTCCCTCTTTTTTCAATCCTTCCTTTTCTCATCTTAAAAACCTCCCACCTCCCCTCCTTCCTTCCTTCTTTCCTTCCTTGGTTAGACTAGAATCTTCTAGATGACCTCCAAACTCCCTTCCAACTCTATTCCGATTGACTGATTGAGGGGCTGCCCCAAAGGAAGAGGAGGGAGGGGAAGACAAGCAACAACCGATGGAAACTCATCAAGGACTAAGAACTAAGGAGAAATTTCCTAACAGGGAGGACAATTAACCAGTGGAACTCCTTGCCACCGGAAGTTGTGGGTACTCTCCATCACTGGAGGCTTTCAAGAAGAGATTGAACATTTGAAACCACACTTCCAGCTCTATTCTGATGGATTGAGAGGCTCCCATTAGCTCCAAGTCCCCATTCCCACCCCCGACAGTTATGGACGAGGCCAGCATCAAGATTCTAGTCCTCCTGGAGGCTCACTTGTTCATGAGAACGATATCCGGGAGCCACACTTCATCAGCACCAACTCGGATGGCCGTGATGCCTTCAAATTCGGCTGGGTTCCAGGTGAGCCGATAGTCGATCCACTCCTGAGAGGGAAAGGAAAGTTGGGTGAGGAAGAGGATGGAAGAATTGAGCAGGACCCACCACCACCACCACCCCAAAAAAAAAGAAGAGGAAAAATTACAGGACAGCCAGTAAGTTAACGAATTGTAAGTTTTTATCCTTTGACTTACAACAGATCCTTGAGTTGCCGTTCAACGTTACCACAGCCCTTCAAAAAGGGCCTGATGACCCTTTTCCAACTTACGACCATTGCCGCATCGGTCACGTGATCAAAAGTCAGCAAAGACAAAGGGGGGGATTCCGGATTCACTTAACGCCCGGGTGACTCACTTAACAACAGCAAGGATTCACTTGCAAGAAAGGTCGTAAAAGAGGGCCAAACTCCCTTAGCACCAGGAATTTGGGGGTCAGTTGGGGTTGTAAGTCAAAGACTACCTGTCTATAGCATAGTGCCGGACCCGAGAAGGAGGTAATAGGCAGACATTGAAGACCGGTTTCTCTTTGCGAATTTGAGTTTCTCTGGATGTCTTTACTTTTTGGCAACCCAGATGGAGCTCGGTCGATGCACTCAGCTGCTCGGAAGCTCTGCAGTTCATGGTTGTTCATAGGTAACATCCTTCTCGCTGGGTGCCCAGACAGCCCCCTCCCCACAATCTTTACACACATGTCCTCGAACCCATGTCTCACTCTCTTCCTCTCTTCCCCCCGCCCCCACTCCTTAAACAGCTGCTCCCCTCTTCTACTCCAGCTTCGAATTCCTCCGCCGGTTTGGCCCTCTGCCAACAAGAAAGTTCCGGACAACCATCCCTGCTTTTCTAATACAGAGGCGGAGGGGTCCATAGACGGCAAAAAAGTCAAGATGGCAGCCTATTTTTGTTTTTTGTTTTTTTCCTACTCACCTGGTTCATGTAGACCTTTGTGGTCAGTTCTTCGTCCTTTTCATTCTGGAAAGAAAATACGTGTATTTGTGTGCTTTCCGGAGCCTCTGTATTGTCAGGAATTTTTTTGACACTCCCCCCAAAAAGTGGGGGAGGAAACACCCTCCCAGGAAGAGCCAGTGACTGAGGGAGGGGGCTGGCCCTCCTGCCCCTCTGTGGTGGATGGGTTCAGGCCAACGCTGGACTCCAGGCTTTCGTTTGTACCCCAGCGCTGAGCAGGGGTTTAACTAGATGACCTCGGGGACCCCCTCCAGGCATCCCCCCCCTCTTCTCCCCCCAGAGTTCATGGCAGACGGAGAACACAAGGTAGCAAAGCCCAAGAAGCTGACATAAGTGGCCCAGAGATTTTATTTTATTTGATTCCTCCCTTTCCTTTCCCCTTCTTCTCTTTCATTTTCCCCTTCCCCCTTTCCTCCCCTTCCTCCTTCCCTTCCCTTCCCTTCCCTACACCCCATCCGACTTATCTTCCCTTATCATTTTATAACCAACCTGTATTGTTATTATTATTTTGTAAATAACTCCAGGTGGCAAAAATACTTAATCTTCCTCCTCCTATTTTCCCCACAATAATAACGCTGCGAGGTAAGCACTGGCCCAAAGTCACCCAGCTGGTTTTCATGCCTAAGGCGGGACTAGAACTCCCATTCTCCTGGTGATTGGCCCAAAGTCACCCAGCTGG